TACGCATATAAACCATACGTCTCTGATCCCGGAGTCCCCGGCAGGAAGTGGTTAAGGCTTTTTTGTCAACGTGGAGAAGGTAGCTGAACCCAGGAATTTTGAAAAAGGTAAAAAAATCCTGAAATCCAGAAAAAATACATGACAAATCACAGCCCTAGTGGAGTTTCAAACATCTTGTGGAGTTACCAAAATCTCTTCCACATTTTACCAATGAAAACTCAAAACTTTGCACTTATTTTCCACATACTGAAACGCTGGCCCGGAAAAGCAACTGGGAAGACGGTGGCCACTTACATGGGCAGGGCTGGGTGTTGCAGAACTCGGTGCTGGCGGGCTTGCGGTCCGTGCACAGGTTCTCGTCCACCTCAATGCCGGACTGCAGGTCGACGCACGTAACCTCGCGCGTCCGCTGGCCAAAACCACACTGGCGATCGCACTGTATTTGGCACGAAATACGGCAACGTTACATTCTACACGTACCCACTCCAATTGGGACCGCGACCGGAAACGTGTGCTTCGGTCACTGGAGCTAGCTTTACTGCCACTTCAAAATGGCAGAGAGGAGAGAGCTGTATTTTTGGTTTCCTGGAACATGTGAATTATGTTTTTAAATATCTGTAGTTAAAATCAGCTAACCCAAATAGACGCTTTCCTCATGGTCTTTTGCAAACTTTTGCGTGCCAGTTCAAAATATGTCACTGGCCAAATTGCTCCAGTTTCGCAAAACATTTCTGGTAAAGATGTCGCAAAGCACGCCCCAATGTTTGATCTTGCCTCAAGGGCAAGTCATCTATTCTGTTCACAACTTGAATCTATTCCTTGTGAGCAACATGCAAGTACGAAACTCTATATGAAGCTTAAACCCCTTAAAGCCGGGATTCTTTTGACCGCGACTGCTGGGCTGCAGTATGCCCAGTATGCAAAGCCCTGTCCAGCAGCCGGCCCACATTGAAACCGCAGGTGCATGATGAATAGAATGTATGCGTGGTATGCACTAATCCTCACACTGAGCCGCAGCTGTAGCCATCTACCGGCGTTAAGGGGTTAAAAATCGCTTGGTGTATGGATGTGGAAGATAGAACGCTGTTGATCCAAAGCTGGTTTACTGGTTGGGATATTTGTAGAAATGAAGTCAACTTTGTATACCGTTTACAATTTGTTAACATCTAAATGTTTTACATCACAAATTGAGGCTGGGAACACAAAATAGTCTGGCGCCACTGAATGGATTACATTGAATGAGACCGATTCAGAGTATATGATCAAAAATGGCGTCCTTGTGACCCCAGGTGGCCAAAATCACATGGTCCGGTGTGCCATGCCTCGAGCTCTGAAGTTGGACTCACCTCTCCAAACTCGCCGGTCACAAAGCCAACCTGGGGACAGTCGTTGGTAAACAGGTTGTAGAGTTGGTAACCCTCGCCAAAAGTGGCTGGGTTGCCATCGGTGACGAGGGTGACGTTCAAGGTCTCACCGCGCGAGGTGATGCTGCCCGGAATCTCGCGGCCACAGATGCGGTAGGAGAATGGCCGGCTGCTCAAGTCCTCCACCTGGTCATACGTGAAGCGAGTTTGGAAATGAGAAACATGGATTTTTACAACTTGGGTGTTAAAGCCGCATGCTTTTCAGAACAGGGACCATCTTAGTTAAGACAAACCAATGACAGTTCTGCACAAGGAAATTCACAAAGTCCACGCAAGCCCAAAAAAAATCAGGACAATGGCCTATGTAATATTTCCATGACGGCAACCCCATATACTGGCACTCAAAACTGAACAATTTTCCAGCGCAGTGCGAACAGATAGACATATATTTAATGACCGATTCATTTATACAAACCTTAACCCCAACAGTCCTGAATCCTCCAATTTTAATATGATTTTGCACACACCCTGGGGAGTTAGGGTTAATCCTAATGGCAAATTTATACAAACAGCTCAAAGCCTAACAAATACCACATTCAAACATAACCTCCCACGTGACTTCATGACTGTGGCCAACGTTGTTTACGTCACTTGTGAGCATTTGCTAAAACATGATGCAAACAATTGGCAGCCCGATCATGTGGACCTGGTACATTTAACAATGCCAAGCATCTCTTACCAGGAGGTAGTCTGTGTCGCAAACGCCGCCGGCATTTGCTTCCGGCATCTCCAACTGGACAAAGAGAAGCTCCACGCAGCCCCCGGGGTTGATGAAGAGGTAGTTGCAGGAATACTCAAAGTAGGGCTGGGGGAAGTTGAGGCTGGACACGCTCTGACGGGTCTGCAGGACGGCCTGGTCACACTCTGCAAAACCACCACAAGGAGTGCCAGTCAGGGTTTGGGGTCCACTGTGCAGTTTTTCTCGATCAAGAATGTTGCATGAGATGTTTTGAGCGACGTGAAGAGCAATTTGAGGCAGCGTGGTAAAACAAGACGATTTTTGGAAGCAGGCCAGTCTTGAATTGATAGAAAGCAAAGGATCTTGTTTTGTTCCCATTTGTGTTCCTGACCAGTTCACTCCGCATGCATGTAAACATGTGGGTATTTTCTGAGCCAGTTAATATATACAGAACTTTCAGACCTGCCACGACAAGTGCAAAACTGATTGAAAATTGGAGCAATTATGATTTTCTGCAACCCACTAGGTGGTTACCGTGACGATAGTATAAAAAACATCTTGAGATATCTTTGGCAAAGCAGTTTAAGCTTTTGGATCTCAACAGCTACAAGCACACTGGCATTTTTCCTTACCTGGACATTCCTCTAAGTTGCAGGGGCGCGATTCGATCGGTCTCTCATCTGCACAATTGGAATCATCCACCTCTTGAAGAGTGGCAAACCTCACACAGGTGACAATACGTGTCTGCACTCCTCCACCACAAGGTCGCGAACACTGAAGCACATAACAGAAAACACACTAGATTACGCCGGCGACTGATCAGATAGCTTTGATGACCAATATGCTTATGCCAGTTTTCTCACCGTTTTGACAAAGTGTCAGAACTGCGCCAAACCAGTCAAACGTGTGTGCCATGTACAAACAAGACAGATTACTTCTGAAAACAGAACTTATTGGGCTTTTAATTAATGGGAGGTCAAATCAACTGCCCTACTTCAAGACGGGGGCCTGACAACATTTCTACATTCAAATTGCACCATCCAAAGCAATGGACATCTCAGCACGCAGCCGGCCTTTCCTTACGCCATATTTCAGCTCATGTATCACTACGCTACAATTTTCCTGAACAGCACACTCCTCCCCAGCATGTAGATTTTTGCTGCCATGGTTACGCACACTGCATTGCGGCGAGACTTAGATTTGTTACCTTTAGGCTAGGCTCAAAAAAATGCGAGCTGTCAAGGTTTTAAAATCAAATGAAGCTGCATTTGAACAAGTAGCGGAAAAGTTGCTGAACGTGCCAAGAGTTTTTTGATACGAGTACTAAATGCAGCAACACCAGCATGGGGGCCTTGCGACCACAACTGAATCCGAAGTGAAAATCGAGCTGGCTGACAAACTTACCTCGCCGAACTCGGTGGCCATGTACCCAAAGTCCGGGCAGCTAACGAAGCCAACATAAGCGCGGAAGCCCTGGGAGGTGTCTTCCTCGTCTGAGTGGAAGCGTATCTGTGCGTTGCCGTAGTAGGAGTTCCACTGGATTTCATTGGGGCCGGCAGCTCCGCAGTACTGCCTGTCCAGTAAGGGCGTCCTTGTATCTGAAATCTGCATTTTGAATTTTAGAGAGCTTTTTTTGTCAAGTCAATGAAACCACACATTTTGTAGAGCACTCAAAACATGAACAATAGAATATGGTGAAATTGCTTTCTTAGGAACTGACTATCAAGGTCTACCTGCATACTCTTGGTTAATTTTTGTTTTCACAGAACTAAAACTTGTCTTCATTTCAGAAGCATAGGATTGATTTTGCTTGTTACCTCACAAGAACACTGCTGAAGTAAACTCATGCCAAACCTTTGCAAAGTGTTTCCCCTATTGGTTCACTCAAGTGTCAGTTCGTGAAATCCGAAAATTATTTGACGCGGTTTACGAGACAAGTGGTTAATTAAACACAGCTTGTCACCCTGCTCTTTGAAAATGAGGTAGAGGTCTCACTTGCCTCTGAATGAATCTTGCAGGATGTATAAACATCGGCAGGAGCCCTCAACATTTTTCACACACATAAAGCCATTCTCATCAGGACACCAAACTGATAGATCTAGCCTAATTCGAAGCATGCTGTAACAGCGGTGGCAAAGCATTCACGAGCACATTCCTATGCTAGAACCGAGTGCGCATTTACCAAATCACGGCTCCCTCCTGGTCCAAGAGGCAGTAAAATGCAGGAACCACCCCTCCACAGGCATTAATTGTGCCACTGCAGCAATGGCATTTAATTCTGGTTGTTGAATTACACTGTGGGTCTCGAGCTGGATCAAGAGGGGGCGCTACTTTTTTGCCAACAGAGGCTCCTGTGGTACTGACTGCGCCACCACTGGTTCAAGAGCGACTATTAAAGAAACGCAAGCTTGGCAGCCACATTAGTACTACCAATATGAATACTCCTGACCAATGTGGCTATTTTTAACAGACGAGGGGGTGCTTCTGCTCGAGACAGATATCAACACTAAGAGTTTACTTTGCTCTTTCCAATACCAATGAAAACTCAAAAGTGGCTCTGGTAAATTGTTTTTTAGAGAGCAGATTACAGTTTGGGGGTGGATAAGATGATTCGCGTTATTCATTTGGGGGGGCAATGGGACTTGTCCATCCCTCACCTCGACAAAATCACTACACACTGCGGGGTCGCCCTCGGCTTCCTGCAAATCAAACACCACGAAGGTGATGCTGATGCAACTGGCCAGGGGAGCCTGGATGTCGTAGTTGCAGTTGATGCTGACAGGGTAACTCGCTGGGTAGTCGGGACTGGCGACGAAAGAGGGCGTGGTGATGACCTCGTCACAGACTGTGGCGACAGCAGAGGGGCGTGGCACATAGAAAGGGAAACAAAGGTGGGAGGAAGGTGGGTTAATGGGATATCACAGGACAGATGAGAGACAGAAAGAACAGAGGGAGAAAACCAAGACAATCATTAGCCTCACTTCGATGAGATCACACAATGTGGGACTGAGCCTGTTGGGATTTTCAAAAAGGCAAGGCCATTTGAATTTGAATCGATCCAAATGCTTGCAAGATGAAAACAATTTAACCTTGCTTTGTACATCATAAGTGTCAGTTTTGTCCAGTTCGTTTCAAATCATATTTGCCATTGACGGAAAGTGGTTTTTTTTTTACTTCGCCCATGTGACCACCTCTAAAACATTGAAAAAATAACTTTCATGGGCAACAGCATGGAACAAACGAGTGATGAAACTGCAAGTATTCGAGGGGCTTACATGGACAAGATTGCTCTGCGCAGGACTTGGAGGAAGGGGGTCGGGTGCTCGTGCACATGGCCTCTTCCACTTCCAGACCCGTAGTGCGGCTTCGGCAGGAGACCTCACGTGTCTGTGTACCACCCCCGCAGGTGACATCACACTAGAAACATAAAAAAAAAACAAAGTGATTACGCATTTCTAGCTAAACATCACAGCGAGTTCAATCCAAAATCATTCTATTAACAACTTGACGACATGAGTTTTTTTCTGAAAGCCGACGCTGAGAATTCCAGCCTCGCTTGGCCATGAAGGCCACCTGCCAAACTGCAAATTCTCGATTTGTGGCCCTGCATGCTCTGCACACTTTGATTTACACAGTGAAAAGGTCGATTGTTCGGTGGCATGCCGCCCTACTCTCGCTTTCACAATCCCGTTGCCTCTTTTGAAAGTGGGGACTATTGTGAAGCCGGTGATTATGATGCAAATTCGGCCTTTTCATTTCCTGGCAATACACAAAGGCCAATCACCATATATACAAGAGCCAGGGTATGCCTTCTTTTACCGTGTTCGTTCGAGCGTGGGTCGAGAATAATGCCTGAAAAGCGGGCTGAGGATCTCGATTTTTATGGCGGCTCTTACCGTCATCCGTCGTGAAGGGGTTAATACGAGTGTGGTTGGACCATCTAATCAACCACTTGGAACCACACCCTGGGGTACGGTTGCACTGTTGGTAATCTGTATCCCATTTTATTTGTATGGAGGGAACCGCTCACATGAAGATATGTGAAGATACCATTGACCATGAAGGACAATGGGCGAGTTGATTGTGGCCAACGGCAAAATGTGAGGACAATGAGATTTTCAGAAATAGATTACATCATTTATGTTGACTGCCTGCGAGTTTTAGTAAAAAACAGGAGATTGGTAGCTGAAATATAGTTCATGCCTGGGTCCAATTTCACATTGCAGCTGAGCACACAATTTACATAGAGGCTCTGCGCATCTCACCACCATAGGCCCACAAGCAGTCAGCAGAGCAGAAGGCTCACTATATGAGGGAAAATTTGCTGAATATGAATTTCTGTATGCCCGTATAACCGTATGCATAACCAGACCAGGAGCCTCCGTGAAATTCTGTTAAAGGCTAGCAAAATTTTATGCTTTGGTAAGCAAGACTTTTCTACGAATTGTTATGCAGAGCCATGAAATTGGGCCCTTATTTGAATTTGTGCATGGCGGACCTTGCAATAAGACAAGTTTGCAGAAACCACCATGACAATCTCTTGTGCGAGTGTCCGATGAGTGTGGTTAATGAATTAACTGGTTCTTTGAAGAACCTCATTCACAGAAGAGACTCACACGGTGACGCTGCAAAGCTTTGTATCAATGCTTGCTTACTGTCAAAGCAGTACATAGTGCAAAATGCTCAAGCAAGTTTTAACTCTCAATGTTCCGCTTTTGCGATTGGAGGTTTCATATAGAGAAAAATTGACAGAACTCATTAATCTGAACTTAAAAATCACTGAGCTACTTGTAGTGGCATCAGTTTTTGGTACACAGAATCTTGAGCACAGAAAAACATCTATTCGAAGAAAATCAGTAATGCAGGTTTCAAGCACATGCAAATGTTCTCGAACTTGCTTCCCCGAGAGCTTAAAATTTGCCAGGTGAATATAAGTAGAGCTTGAAACTTGTCAGTTGAAATACAAGCCACAACAATCTCATTCAATCCAACTTGAGGGCTGCAAGCCGCACATCTCAAGAGGACAAAAACCTCACCTCTGAGTACTCCCCGGTGTAGAAATAAACGTCGGGGCACTCAACATAAGCCACGTAAATGTTGAATCCGGGAGCAGAGACTGCGTTGTCTGTGCGGAACTCCAGGATCGCGTTGCTGTCCGAGGATCCCCAGGTTAGGCCCGTCTGATCACCGCACAGGGGCTCAAGTGCCAACTCGCCGTTCTCATAGATCTGAGGGTAGGGGGAATTATTACAGTTGGTTTGCCATAAAAGAAATGTACAGATTTCCTTCTTGAGATAATTTTAAACAATGATCAAATCTGTTCCTGTCACAAATCATTTTCCAAGTTAAGTGGAGTTAAGTTACGGAGCAAAAACTGCAGCTATAGTTTGGTATCGACACTCACGCTGAGGGAGTCGCAGGTGCAATCGCTGCAGTCTTGGAGCTCGAAGCTCAGGAAAGTCAGGAAGAGGCAGCCTTCTGGGTTGGTGACGTTGTAAGTGCAGTCAAGTAGGCTCTCGTAACCCCGGCCTGGGGCGCTGGAAAACCCAGGGCTCGTGATCAGCTCGTTGCCGGGGAGCAAAGTCTCATCACACACTGCCAAAGAAAAATGAAAGATTCCTTTTTCTACAACTCTGACCTCACTACATGCACACTAAAAGTGATTCACAGATGTCGGTAGGAGCTGGCAAGAGTCACTCTATGAGAACAGTAGAGAGGCCTATGTCACAGCTGGGCTTAATTTCATTTGGGGAAAAAATATGCAAAAGTCAAAGGCGACTTGTGATTCATCGAGGGATCACAAAGTTCAGAGTTTACTCCAAGGTTCCATGGGGTAAAATCTCGGGTCATCCCTGCTTGGACAGTCTCTGGCTAAAGCAAATGTGCAGGCAACCAGTTGCAGGCACTTTGGCCAGTAGCATTTTTCAATACTGGGCAGGCTAGTGAAACCAGGCATGTGAATTCGTTTTTCCTTCCTTGATCTCCAATACATACCAGGGCATGGCTCCGTGTTGCAAGGCATGCTGGATAAGGGAGCTGGGTTGCGGCAAAGCTCATCGGCCGCCGGCGACTGGTCATCCAGTTTGATACACGTCACATCCCGGGTCCTGACTCCGCCCCCGCAACGGACGTTACACTGCAAGTCAAAGAACAAGAGGTCCAAAAGCGTTAAAATTAGGGGACAGCTTGTTCCAAGGGTGCGCCTCGAGGAAATCCTAATTCCACTAAAATCCTAAACTTTGCAGACCACAGCACCTGCTTAATCCCTCAACTTCCACTGGGGTATCAAGCCACCAGTAAAGAGGCAATGTCCTAGTTCTGACATTCTGGAAACCCACAAAATCTATTAAAAACCTTCAAATGGGTTTCAAAGGATCTAGATGGTGCATATTTAATGCCGTACCCATATACACCAGCATCCATGATGAGTGTAGTTAAAGTCAGTTTTTCCCAGGTCATTTTAAGTAATGTTTTCCTGGCCAAGGTAAAGTTTTAAATCATTTTTCAGTTTAATAAAATCCATCTCAAGTTATGACTGACGCAGGATTGGAAGTCATTAACTGATGATTTGTTTTCATTGTAACGTGCCAATGCTTTCGGAAGTAAAAAAATCAGTACCAAGGATACAGGTGCAGCCAGGCTGCAAAAAATTCTCACCGGGCCGAAGGGTCCCACGTCGTAGTCGTACTCAATGCAATTGTCATTTACAATGTACACATTGAAGCCAGAGTTGGAGCCCTCCTCGTCTGTGACGAACCTCAGGGTGGCTTGGTTGCTGCGCGAGTACCAGGAGATAGAGCGACCAGACTCGGGGCAGATACGGATCGGTGCCTGTTCTGCCGGGCCACTGAGCTGATTGGTAAAAGATGCCAAAAAACATTTATCTACAGGTGGGATCTTGTGCTTCGTTCATGGCTTCCAACAAGAGTGCCTCGCTCAAGCTCTTTGGACAAAAGCACTCAGAGGGCATTATGCCAAGTAAACTTGGAACACGAGTCATCAACTGCACCCAAGACAAAGGCATACATTGAGGGCTCAGGACAGCAGAACTGCATCTGAAGACAAGTGGATCTAGATATTAAAGGCTCCAACTATTAAACCCTATGTGACCAAATGTACATCTGCCATTGTTGTCAGCATAGAGTCAAGCAGATGAGAAATTTTGGCTTCACATTTTTGCTTATATGCCATTGCATTCAGTATAATGCTAGTCTGAAGAAATCGGTTCTTACAAAATGGAATTTTTTTGAAACAGAAGTCTGGATTCGCCATGAATCAACTGAAGCCACCGGCAGCCATCTTACCGTGCCAAACCCAACAGCAAGCAATTTGGTTCACAATGGTGTTGCTCTGCATTGTATGATGCACGATAAAGATGGACCCTGGTGGCTTCAGTGACCTTGTGCACTGCTCGTAGGCATGGCAAGTCAGTTTTTATTTTGATATGATGTCCAACTAGGACAGGAACGGAGCAAAGACATCTGTACCTACCTCCACATAGTCTGCCGAGCACAGATCATCCTCCCCCGATCCACCAAGCTCCACCTCCAGGATGGTCAAGCGGATGCACTCCGTCACGAGTGGGGAATCGAAGTTGTATAGGCAGTTCAGGTTGGGCGTGTAGCCCTCGGGGAAGCCAGGACTGGTTACAAACATGCCCTCGTTAATGTCGATGTCCATGTCGCACGCTGTGGGGCAGGATCGAGACAACATCATTCAAGCAAGCAAATCCCAGCAGAAAGACAGAGGCAAACTGACAATGCATACTCAAAGGTGGGCCCAGGCTAACAAAATGAGATGGAAGTTGCCAGAGAAACTTTATTTGAGGGCCCCCAAAAATATTCTTGCACAACATAAGAACTCTCAACATTTTTTTCACCCACATAGTGTCAGTAGTCAACAGGTCGTCAGACTGAGCTCATGTAGGATGCTTGCCCGTAAAATCCCATCCATGCACAAATCAAATACAAGACCACTAAACAAGCCCTCGTCGTTTTTGGAATTTTTGACCTGGGCACACGATCACAGACCTTTTCCCACAACATCCACTCTATCTTGACCTATGACCCCCAAGCCCCAAACTGCTATACACTCACATGGGCATTCTACACCAGTGTCGCAGGTTTCCTCCGACGGGGGGCGCTCGCCTTGACACAAAGCGTCTTCCACGGGGACATTGTTGATCAAGTCCATGCACTGGACGTCTCTAGTTCTTACACCAGATCCGCAAGTCACCGAGCACTGCCAGAAAACAAACACATAAGCAGCATAGATTTCATTCACGAGGAAGCCATGTTTGATCTTGTTCCCTGAATTTCTTTTATGAATTGTAAACTGTTGATATAGATGTTACCGAACTATGTTATAATTGTGCACTTCAAGCCTTCCTTACAATAGTTTTGAAGTCTGCCTTAATGCACTAAGCGATGTTTAATAATAATTACAAAAGTTTATGTAATATGGACAGGTACCAAATGTCATGATATTTCATTGCTTTTATTTCTATCTCTCAAGTTCTACGACTCGAGTTAACTTTACTTTCGATTTCAATGAACAACCTTGAATAAACTCTACGGCAGTCAAGTGCTTAAGCACATCACAGGTATTTTACACCATACAGCAAAACCAGAAAACACCGACTTTTACACCATCACAAGACACTTTACAAAGTTGGACTTTAAAATTGCTGACCCTAGGCGGTCATTTGGTCAAGATCTGTGCAAGATTTCTGAATCGCCACTTTTCAAAACTATGAGACAGTTTCAGGGTAGTACTCTTTACAATGCCAAGCCCTGGCCCACGGCCACTAGAGGGCGACATGTGGACCGGTTTGAGAACCTCGTGTGTGAATAGGAATCACTCGAGCGTGAGGACGAGTATGGACGTCATGTGCCAATGCCCATAGCATTTACTGCCACCTTGATGAAATGTCCTTCTGGTCAAGACAACCATGATCCCTTAAATCTTGCCTCAAGACTAAACCAGTTTTGGCCTGCACACTGTATAGGCGACAAGCACTGGCAAGCACAGACGAATTGCAGTACCAGTAGAGGGCGCTATATTCACAAGAGGCAAACTGCCAACCGAGAGGGATCTCTTCAGCAACTCACCTCACTCCAGTTGCCTGTGATGTAAGCATTGACAGGGCAGGCGTTGAAGGAGACATAAGCAAAGTATGATATCATCGATAGCGATGAGGATCTCTGGAAAATGAGCTGTACGTTGCCGCTCAGTGACTGGTAAACCTCCAGGGTCATCGACCCGCACATCTTGATTGGTTCCTGCCTAGCAGCATCAATGATCTAAAACCAAACCAAATAGGGCCAAGAAAAGGGACAAGCGGCAAAATTTTAGAAATCGATATACACTCCCAGCCCAATCCCACTAGATCACGAGGTCTGTGCCGATCAAAGTGTTGCAAGTGCTTCTTTCATTTTTTACAACATTGCTTTTTTCAGTCGGTACCTGATTCTTTGGGTTTTACCAAGAATATTCCTCTGGGGTTTTCCTCCCACCTCAAACTGTAACTGCTTCTCATTTCAATGTGCCAGAGTCTTCTGGTGTACAAAGTTGGCACATCACTTAGATATTCAAATGATTATCAAATATCTAAATATTTATTGGAAGTGGAATACTTAAACATGAAAACCAACCATTGAAATTGCCTGTGCCCAAATCAAGCTGACCGATACGTTCTCATGAACCAATCATAGTGTCACAATGTTGCACCCTGAAACAGCTCATGATAACGCGTGCCAATGTGCATGATGTCAACGCTTGCAGACACTTCACAAAATGAAAACAAAATATTAATGGCAATTTTCCAAAATTGCATCTTTAAAGGCACGGTTGGAAATGACAGCTTGCCAGAAAGGGTAATTACACATGGATTATAGTCCCCCAACAATCTATAAACCAAGTATGCTTTTCATCAAGAACTTTGTCGGTTTCCTTTTTGATGTCTGCAAATAATGGACTCTAACTTGACAACTGACCACATCTTCATTTCCTTCTTCGGTTGGCAACTGACAGACATGAAACGGTGCGATAGAAAGTGTAAATAAATCAAACAGATCTATGCCTGACCTCTAGGTAGTCCGTTTCACAGGTTCCAGGGAGGTCGGGCACAAGGTCCAAGCCCAAGAAATTGATGGTGACGCAGCCCTCTGGATTGGCTATATTTGCCACACAGTTCAAATCTCCTGGCGAGATGGGAGCACTTACATCCCCTGGAGCGGTGATTTCTACGTCACAGCCTTAAAAATGACAGGGGGACAAATTTCAACCAATCGTAAATCTCACACCTGTCATTTTCCGGGGAAATTGTGGTTATTTTTAACCCCTTCAACGCTGGGCTGTGGTATGCCCGGTATGCAAAGCTCTGTCCAGCAGCAGGCCCCATTGAACCAGCAGCTGCATGGTGAATAGACTGTACGTATGGTATGCACTAATCCTCACACAAAGCCGCGGCTGTGGACGGCTCCCGCAATGAAGGAGTTTAGCTGTGAGAAGTGGTCGTGGTATTTTCATCATTAAAAGTTCAAACATTTTCAGCTGTATAGAGCAATCTCATTTTCAAGTAAAACTGTCCACAAGGGATTAACCACTGATACTTTAGCTGAAAACATCGACTTTTAAAGAAGGCCAGATGTAGCGTCCACTTTTGAAGTCATGACACGCAACAAATGCAGAGCCATTGGAACAGTGACACGATACTTCTCTAAACCATAACTGCACATTTTTCGAAACCACAAAGCACTGCCCACCGACCTGAATGCTCAATACACTGTACTCCTCTACAGGTTCTCAGACAACAGAAATGACTTTTTGACATTTTAAGACACCAGCGGGAGGTGAGCTGGGAAGCAAGCCCTGATATTTATAACTTCGTCAGCCATGCCTATGTGGACAGATAGCTACAATCCTGGACAAATCTCGTTGGAACATGCTTCCCCTTGCCCCCTCCATCAATGCTGTTTCTCATTGGTAAAGCTGGGCTTCATCTTGGTCCATTAATTGACCGCAACATTGAATAAGGGAGAGGGGGATCTTTTCACCGCGCTAATTCCCACAAGGTGTTCCCCACTATTTTGTCCAGGATGGTAGATCCTGGGAACACATCCTCTGGTAGGAAGCGATTGAACACAGCTGCATGTACGGCATTGGCAAGCATCAGAACTGCACCTCTCAAGTGCCACTTCTCGCGTGCTCCTTTCAAATTTGAAAGCTTCCATTAAAACACTGGGGTCTTTCTGTGGGCACAGTTCTTACTTGGGCATTCCTCCACCTCGCAATCTATGGTCGACTCGGGCACTTCCAGCGGGCACATGGATGGGTCCAACTCGTCCATTGTCCGTGGATCCTGGCAGACCACTGTTCGGGTACGGTATGACTCGCCACAGGTGGCCGAGCACTACGAGTTACAAAATAAAGAGGCGAGAGTTGCAGACAGACAAACTTAGTATCAAGACTGACAAAGAAATTGAACAAAGCGAGATTAGATGCCTCGCAATTGTGACTAAATCACACAAAATAAGTCTCGTTACTAATTCCTCAGAAATTTTGCTTCAGTTTCCAACAAAAAAACCACGAGACGGTTTTGATGTAGCATTCCATTTTGTAAACTTGACAAAAATATTGAGGCTTCCTGTTGATTTAATACTGATTCATTTTGAGATCTCAAATTAAACAAAAATTGGCTCTTGCAAGTTGGCTCAGGCTCATCTTATTAGATTGGATGATTTGTTTGTGGGTAATTTCAGAAATCAGGGATCAAAAAGTGTGACATATTCATGTCCCTGTTAGATCTGACCTTTGTTGTTTGACATGGAAATATCACCAGAATTTATTTCAAACTTACCATTTGTTTGGCAGGTGTTTTGCATTAATTCATCACTCTTGGAAATGAGAAATTGTGTTTTGAACGTACAAACTCATACCTCAGATGTGACAGGGACATGAATAAAATGGACCTCTCATTTCTGGAGTTACTCAGACACCATTTTCACAAAGATGGATAACCTATGGCAACGTCGCAATGCCCATCACATAACATTTTTAGCCTCAAGTGGTTGCAAACGTCCACAGCAAAACAGGATAAAGTTGCCCACTTTCTCAAAAGGTTGCAAAAACTGAGGGAGGACTCACCTCGCCATAAGGGCCGGTAAACCACAGCCCAGCAGTGCACTCCACAAAGCGGGCTACGGCATTGTAGCCGCGCCGGGTCGGGCCATTCTCATCAGAGAAGAAACGGACCGTCAGGAGGCCGGTGGCAGAGTAGAAGACAGAGGGGATCTCCTGGCCGCAGATGGGACCGGTGTTGACGTTCACCAGGTTCAGATCCACCAACTGCGGACAAAGCCATCCAATTAGTATGATTTGATAATCCTTGTACTTGCTCGATTTTCATGTAAACAAATCGGAAATGTGGGGGAACCCCTGACCAGAACATATGAAGCAAGATACGAGACGGAGAGAAACCCCCTGCTTTGTGTTGGTCATTGTTTTACTGGAATCTGACAAACGCTTTTCAGACATTTCAGCGGGATGTGTTTGATAGGTAACATTAAGTCTATTGTGTGTGTATTGTGATTGGACACATTGGGGGGTATCCCTTGATCTCATTTCTTGCTGGATATAGACCAGAAACATATTGGTGAGGTAAGCAGCAACGTTTCTAAAGATGAATTTGCGTCAAGGAGACATTAATTTGGGGGTTTTGCCCTACCCAATGTATATTATAAACACTGAATGCTCAGTGTGTACACCCGAGAGCTTGTGAAAAAAATGCTCGCTGGATTCGGGTGGGACTAGAACCCACAACCTCCTGCTTTCTAGTGTAGATGTCTTGACCAGAACCACCAGAATCCAGCTTGCGTTTTTGAGGAAACAAAAGATTTTACCCCGACCACACAGCGCCTTCCCACTTCATCCCCCATGCTCCAAATGTCTGCTGACAATGCGGCCTTTGTTTTCACAACATGGTTTTCAGTAAATTCATTTGATTGATTAATCCATTGAGGAGGTCGGTCATACTTGCGAGTCAAGTGTCTATACCTGCACAAAGTCCGAGCACTGGCCGTCGAATGGAGGGAGGTCCACGTCCAAGAATCTCAGCTGGATGCAGCCGTTGTCATTGCGGATGACCGTCAGGCAATTCTGGTTGCTGTCATAATTGTCAGGGTAGTTGGGCGAGTAGACAGCCTGGCCGGAGGTGGTGATCTCCTGACCGCAGGGGCTTCCTACAAAAAATTCAAGAGGGGGTGAAAAGTTTGGACTTTTCAGGTGAAAGCAGCCCCAGTGTTAAACCTCGGCAATTAATTTTGTCTTTGCAGGGGAGGAATTTTGTTATTGAAGGGGAGCAAGGCAATTGCCTCCGATGCCTCCGTGAAATTCCTCTCGTGCTTAATTTTTTTTGCTACATCAGATGTAACTTACCAGTGGCTGTAGGGTTGGTTTCACGTGAATACTGAAAAAAATAATGTTTACAGAAGGTCCCAAAACTCGGAGGTTTTTACACAGAAGATTCTGCAAAATTTGGGCAGCCCATTCATTAGAGTTTGTAATCAAGGGAAAGAGAAACCCTGACTGGCAGTATACAATTTGCCACTCATAACTCAAATATTTGCCATGTCAAAGAAATTGTCCAAATTGTGCAGTTCTCATTCAGGTCAAAGTTTAAACAAAGCTGTAAGCCACTAAAGAGAAACCCAATGGGCAGCATGCCATTCACAGCTCAAATATTTGCTACGTCAAAAAATTGTCCAAAATCTGTATTTCACTGGAAAAACTATGGCTACTGGACAAACTGAAAATGGAAAGACCTTGCAGTCATTACCTTGCTCATTGATGAAGTTGGCCTGCAGGGTAAAGCCAAAACCGTTTGGACTGATGGGTCCAGTCTCGGCCGATATGAAGGTGATGGCAATCTCGTTGGTGATGGAGGTGAAGATAACGCCTGGAGCCTGGGTACCGCACAGCTGTAGAGGATCACCGTCTGAATTCACATCTTTGATCTGCAAAAACAAGGTCGCCTTCCTTAATTGCTGTGTATTGACCATATAGAAGAGCCAGGCCTTTTCTGACAATCTCATGGGGGGATGATTATGCATCCCCCAACCCACCAAGAAATTGGCTGTCCCACACCCAATGCTTGTAATAGGTGGAGCTGTGAAGGTCCAATTCAATCACAAACATGGTCAAGTTGTTACAGCCACTTGAAGTTCAGGGCTGAAAGTCCATGTGCATTGGATATGCAAATGGGAAAAGTATGTATATACTTTGGCAGACCTGTCTCTGAAAAATTGGCCTGTAGCGAGAATGATCTGTCCAATTGGCACGAAAGTAAACAGAATCGGCAAGACCTTATCGAAAAAACTACTTGATACCAAGTATTTTCTGGCAGAGATGAAAAGAAATTAATTCCGAGAAACTTACCAGAACCCTGTCCTCACAGTCTGCCGAGGGTCGAAGGTTGAAAAAGGTGGTCGTGAGCTGCACCACCATGCCCTCAGGAGCCCTAACCACATTGAAGCAGGACACGTTGTTTGGGTAGGAGCTGGGGAAGTCCGGTGACAGAATGAAGCTGTTGTCTTCGGTGCGAATCAGATCACCGCTACACACTATTGCAATCGAGGAAGATATGAAAATATGAGATACTGCATGTTTTTTTCCGCAAGCCTAACGCCATGGGCCAATTTCATGGAGCTGCTTAAGCACAGAATTTGCCCAAGTGCAAAAAAAGTGCTTAAAAATCAAAGGTTGCCAGCTCAAAATCTATGTGCTTGTCATGCTAACCAAAAGACAGATGAATACCACTCCAAAACAATATACATCACAAGAAGTTTTGGCTGGTCACCTGATTTGTCAAGCCTGGTTTTTTCATGCTTAGGTAAATTTTGTGCTTAAATGAAGCAGCTCTATGAAATTGGCCCAGGTTTTTCTTTGTGCAAAAGCAAAGCTGAATGTAAAATTGTGACGTATCAGTAATTCCTGCTGCAGAAAAAAACTTTTTTGCAGTGCAATTTTTTTGAGGTGCTATCTGCCCGGAGTTGAAGTGCACCCCCAAGTGGCAAAAGACAGATTGTTGCAAGTTTTCCAAGTGGATTCTTGCACACGTTCTGCGTGCATGCAAAGACTAAACATTAAGGAATATATTTGTTACGCGTACTCAGCGTAAAATGTGCCATTGATCTCATAAAAGCCCGTCAATGCAGCGAATACTTAAAAATAGCAAATACGTCCTCCTTTGTTCTGCCGGATGCCGCTAATCTGGCTTGCTCTCTAAAAGATATTGAAGGTCTCCTGGATGCTATTAAAACGGCATCATCTTACCGCTGGGCTCCACGCATTCCTCCTCCTCGCAGGGCTGGGTGGAAGCGGGCCTCTCCAGTCCGCTACACTCAATGTCATCCACCGTCTGGTTGCCACGGACACAGGTGACTTCGCGCGTCTGCACACCCTCCCCGCAGGTGACTGAGCACTGCAATGCGGTTTCAAGATTTAGTCCGAACGAGTTAAACTCTGCCTGTCAGTTTCTCTTTTTTGATGTACGCAAGATCAAAACCACTTTGCGAAAAATTCAAACATGAGAACCTGGGTATCCATGGCAACAAGTAAAATGTCCACTAAGACCAGGAACTAATGTCATTTCCTCCAGAGTGGAAGAAAATACAACCTTCAGATTTCAGTCGGTGAAATTTCTTTGACAAATGCTAAGAGTGATGAATTTTCCTTTCATGCTTTGTTGCCATCTCCACAGTAGCAGTGGAATAACAGTTGACAGAAACCTTGTTCATTCATCCACAAAGTTGCTCATGGAAATATCACAGGCATGTGAATGGGCACGAACAAAAAACCCTGAAAATATTGTGATGAAATTAATCATGGGGAGACTACTACGAGCGCAGAGCTGGAAGCCCTTAAGGCACGGGGTCCGGAGCCCGCTCAAGGGCCCTGGAAAATTTTGGATTCTAGTACGTTGTGGTGCAATCTGATGCAATTCATGGCCCCTTTGCCTCTAATTTATTGAAGTAAAATCTTCTCAACTATAAGGGCATTTCTCATTTTTTTTTAAATTACTCTGATTTTGTTTTACTAATTAATTGGACTTGTTATACCTGTGATGGCCATTTAAATATGGGAATGTTGATTTGGTGTCATCTTTCTTTTTGCAGCCAGGCATTCCAGTGCCTTCTGCCAAGCCCTCTTCCTATGTGGTGCTTCTCATATTTAGCTGCATGCTGTATCAATGCTTTCGCTCCGGAAGTACCATACTTCATACGAACACAACACCACTCACACCATGCTTTTCCAGGGTCGTAAAGCTTACAAAAGCAGTCCCCCACCACATGCTCATCTTCCGTTTGAGCCAGTAATAATTTGTCACACCACGACCAGTTCCACTTGTTTTTCACCAAAATATCAATCTGTTTCGGATCAGCAGTCCCCCCCGCTCAACGAACTTCAAGTAGTTTCCTTCTACCGCGATTTTGATTTTGTTTCTTGACTGCATGTGTGTACGTATGTACAGCGCGGCACTTCGACCATGTACAGTACATGCACATGTACCAATTTTCAAAATCCACTTCGCACATGGCCGGCCATGCAGCCTCTAGTCACGCAGCACTGCCAAGAATTTATGTCTGTAACGTACGGACCCATTTAGAGTAATGCACATGCGTATGTATGATAATTAGGAGAATGGCCAGTCATGCGAGAGGAATTAACCAATAAGAGGTAAGAGTCTGATTTTTACGGGAGTCAGATTTTTGTGGACACCGGGCATTTACGCAAAGTGGCTGTGGCAAAGCGACAGCTCGCGACGGCACTCTTCACTGCTTCCCTCCTTTGGTTACACAAAGAGGATTCAGGTTTTGTGGGAATCTGCAAAATTAGTTCTTCGTACATTTTGAAAGGTCCCGAATCGAATTGTTTCGACGTACAAATTTCACCCAATTTTAGGGAAGTGTTGAGCGCCGCGAGGTCAACTAACATTTACCCCCTTACAACTTGCCCCCCCCCCAAATTTTATTCCATTTTTACACTGAACTCAAAGACCACAAATTTGAAGGTGAAAAAACTAAAATTCTGGTTGAACCGGAAAGATTCTCAACCCTGATACAATAATTGATGCTTACATAGCACTATCATACAATCACAATTACTACCCCTGCTCACTGGGCGACAAGATCAGTTTCTGCTGTGCTTGATTAAGAAAGGCAAAACTTATCACTCCCCTGTAGGGCACCCATTTATTTTCTAATTGAGTGGAGATAGGCAATTGTGAACGAGTGTCAAGCCAAACGAATACATGCACCATGGCAATTCTGGCCAACATTACTGCACAACATCTAACACCAGAACCACCAAACACCTAGCTACGACTTGCAGCCCCAGCCCGACTCACCTCGGACCACTCAGAGAACACGTAGCGGGCGGGGTCTTCCTTCTCCACCGCGCTGTAGATGAGGGAGTAGCCCGGCCGGGTGACGGTGGCATCTGTGTGGAAGAACATGTTAACGTCAGGTCCCACCGAGGTCCAGACCAGCGGCAGCTCGTAGGAGTTGCCACAGAGGCGCTCAGAGGTGTTGTATCTGACGTCCGTAATCTGGTGAGAACATGGCAACAATATGAAATCAGTACAGAACAACTAAGCAAAGCAGAATTTGCAATCCCGTGCCACTACGGCTGAGAAGGCATCTCAGCTGTAGGGGAGTCAAGATGCCTTTTGCAAGTTAAATTTGAATAAAATCTGGTACACCGAGTTCTTTAAATTCAGTTGAACATAACAAATAGAACTCTCCATACTAAAGCCACTGTTCTATGCCTCGTGATTTGGGAAAAGCTTTTGCTTAGTTACGTAAGAGACACCTTGCAACAATACACTGTTCTCAATGGATAAGGGCAAAAATTCATTCCAGAGATGGTCGCCATGCAAAAGCTTGCCCCGAATCAAGACGTACAGCAACACTCTCTTTAGTAGGGGTAATTCTAATTGTTATGTGTGTGTGCAATCAGATAAATCAGGGTACCAGATTTTATTCAAATTTAACTCGCAAATGGCTTATTTGGTATGATGTCATCTTCCTTGCCTCATCCCACCTCAGTGCTAAATCCCAGCCCAGGTTAACATGGACATGGGTCTTCAGTCCCTACCTGATTCCGTGGGTTTGACCCAGAATGCTCTGCGGCTTAAATTTCCTCCCACCTCTAAAACTGCAAATTCCTCTACAAGTTTCTTCAGGTTTGCTAGCCACGATACCTAGAACCCTTTCAAGGACTGCTTGAAGTCATGATTATAATGTTTTAAGTGGTGATAATTAGGCCACAACCCAACGGAACATTTGGAAAGCACTGCTTGCTCAAACCAATCAGAAGCACCCAAGATTCCTACTGGGAACAACTTGGAAACACAACAACCAATGCTTTTTTGGTAGTTTTTACCAAGGAGTGCCCCATGTCCATTATTAAATAACACAACATTAATGTACAGTAGCACATTCCAAAAGAGAATCCAGTTTGTCAATAGGACCATTCTACTTCAGACAGGAATGTTCCAACATCCAAGATGTTCCAAGCTTATAAAACAAGTTGAGAAGCTTTACGGAATGGTGTCAACTTTTCCACACCTTGCTTGAGTGAATTCTTTCCAAACTTGACAAAGACCTGGACTTTTGTACCCATAAGAAACCACCAGCACGGAGTACAGTTGACAGAGCCAGTACTCTGGGGCCTAGATATCGTACATTCAAATATGCATTACACAGCAACTGGTAACTTATGTCATATTAATAGAAACACCAACACCACATTAGAAGACCTGATGGGCATAATGCAGGTAGCCACCTATAGAGGGTTCACTTCATATTTTGTGGTGTACGTAATGTTGTACATACCACACTTTGGGTAAAGATCAACTAGCCTTCTTTACCTCTAGGTAGTCAAAAGAACAGTCTGGCGAAGGTTCCACATCAAAGGCTGTGAAGGTCAGCCGTATGTAGTACTGGGGGGTTTCTGTTTCAGTCTCTCGCCGACGCCTGCGCCCCTCAGTGGCCGGGATGTCAGCCACAAAGGCCTTGTCACAGTCCAGGTCGTTGGGGTAGTTCTGGCCGTTGGCGAAGCCCGGCGAGCTGTCTGTGTATTGGACGGTGCCCTCCAACATGTACGTGGTCTCGCAGCCGTAGGGGGCGGGGCAGATGGCTAGGTAGCAGGGGCGGGAGGCTGAAGGTTGGTCCTCGGCCACACACTCCGTTTCCTCCACCAAGTTGCTGTTGGGGTCTTTGGTCTGTTGGCAGGCGACGGTGCGCGTTTGCATACCAGGGCCACAGCTCACAGAGCACTGAACAATTTGGCAGAAATACCAGTGGTGCACATTAACACTCTTAAGGTTAAAAATGTCCTTTCTGCCAGTCAACAAGGACAAATGCAAAAAAGCAATAGAAATCGGGAATCTAGAAAAACAAAACCAAAATGGATCTAGTGCTTTTCAATAAAAAAATTAAACTGACAAGAGCACACTATTGACAAGAATCTTGGAGAACGTTTAATAATTGTTCATTTTTTCTCAAGTGAAGCGTACTAGTGTGAGGCACAAACGAACTGGTGGACAGAGGTCAAAACAAAAAAGCGGTAGCAGGTCAAGGGCAACAAACCAAAATAACTCCAGTCAATAAGGGAGCATACGTCTTGGATGATGGAAGATAGCCTCTTACCTCGGACCAGTCCGATGTTGTCCAGGAGGCGGAACAAGGGTCAAGGCTGCAGGGGCGGACCGTGGGGGGCTTCTCCCCAGCGTTGCAAAGAGAGTCCTCAACCTGCACAAAGTTGTCGCCAAGATTGAAGCAGAAGACGTCGCGAGACTCAAAGCCCAGGCCGCAGGTCACACTGCAGGGTCCCCAATCATAGGTCAACCACAGATATCTGGGATAACAAAAATAAGAGGAACAAAAGATATTGGAGTTTGAAGCCACGTCTGGGACATTAGTGTTATGCGCCTGGCAGAGAGTTCCATCAGCCAAAGAACAGACCATCAAAGAGACTAACTGGCAAAAAACAGTCTGGTAAAAAAAATGGCCTGGCAAAAAAATTGCCAGGCAAAAAAAAAAGCCTGTCAAAAATGACCTGGCAAAGAGTCTGCTGGGCAAAGAATCAGAGAGGCAAAATGTTGGCCACGGGCAAAATTAGTTGGCCCGACAAAACAAACTGCATGTAGCCATCACAGTTTCTACTACAATTGAGTATTTCATTGTCATATCCCCATGTTTTTCTCTAAGCTTGCAAAGCAAACAGAAGTAAAATTGGTTTCATTTGCCTCCTCCGAAAATGCTGCTGGCTGTCGTAAGCCCAATGCATGATATATTTAAGCCTTGTTGCATTATTGGCTATACTTTAACTTACGCCGTTGGGCACTCCACTTGCGTGTCGCACTCCTGTGAGGCCGGTGGTCTGTCCTCTGCAATGCACTCTGACTCATCGACGATGTTGGTGGATCCAGGGGCCTCAATGCAGTAAACCAGCCGACCCTGGGTACCGACGCCACAGGTCACTGAGCACTGCACACCAAACCAGAACAGATGAAGTTCTTTCACGGCACAAACTCTTCCAAACAAATTTCAAATATTCCTCCAAGCAGATTTCCCAGATATCTGTAAACTATTCACCTTTCTGCAGCTTAAAATGGTGATGATAACCAATGGTGTGCCTTTGTTTGCTGTCCCGTGTTCAAATGAATTCCCCTCAATTTTGGGGAACGAGTCATACGATACCACAAAACTAGTCAAAGAGCATTTTTCTCAATAATAGTTTCAATTTAACAAGCAAATTGGTCTCGTTTTGGTGTATCACTGTTTGGGGTCCTGATGAAAAGTGATCATAATGTTGGTGAAATGTGTTGAGGGTTACCAACGACTTCTTTGCAAGACTCGAATAGTTTTTCACTCTTTCACTTGACTTGCCCTGTTTCATAAACATGTATGCGATTAGCAAGCCATTTTGCTTTGTGGCTGCGGTCATTTCACACATTGTATATGGACACTCACAAAACGCGAGTCTTGTAGAGAGTCATTTCATGTCTGTTACCTGTCATATGCCTTGTCAAAATTAGCTTATTTTTGGACCTTACCCCATTCCATTCGGTGGTCTGCCAGACGGGGTTAAGCTGAACACAGGTCGAGGGTGGAGTGCACTCCTGGGAGGTGGGCAAGGGGTCCAGTCCGTCGTCCAGGCAGGCTTGCACAGGCACCTGCTCCAGGATGTTGCCCGAGCGCCGGATGCAGACGACCAGCCGGGTCTGAAGGCCGCTGCAGTTGCAGGCACTGAAGGGGCTACTGACAAACTGAAGCCTGTGGGGTTAAAGGTTAAAGGTCAGACAATGTACGAGACCACCAGCACAGTCCAAATTCTTTGCGCCTCAATTTTCAAGGGGCGTTTCAAGCCTTCCTAAAACTCAAAATCCAAAGCCAAAACTGCAGGAAATTAAACACCAATGGCACTTTCGTGGAGCATCAGGTCACATATCAAGTAATGGTGGGGAATATACGCCCTATTCTCAATCCTTCGAAATCCTGATGATTGTTTGAAGGATCTAGGAGGGTTGACAGCTACTGAACTCAGCGTGTAAAACTCACAAGGAGATGCACGGCGTCAGGTTGCAAGGCTGAGTCGTGGCCGGCTTTTCCCCGGAACAGATGCTGTCTGCCACCTCTACCCTGGTGTCGTTGTTGATGCAGACCACGGTGCGGATTTGTACGCCATTGCCGCATGTCTCGCTGCACTGTTTTCAACAAGAGAAAAAAAAATAAGCTTTGCTGGTAGTAAAGTGGATGGAGATAGGATTCAAAGCTTCCATGTTCAAAGCGCCGCTCAAGGTGCTGCACCGACCAAGCTCTCCAGGAGGCCTGTGGTTGTGGTGCTGTAGTCTCCACATGCGACTAGGTCCTTTGGCTTGACAGCAATGCAAAGTTAGCATACAGTTTCCTGCCAACAAACTGACTTTTCCTGGACTTCCCAGGACTGTGACAATTGACCTACTTAAACACCATTTTGCAAAGAAAACTCGCTTGGTTCAAGGAACTGGAGGATAGCCACAGCCACTGCTATAAACTGAAAGGGACAGCCTGTAAAGTTATCATTAATCTGTTATTGCATCAAAAGCGGCCCATCAAAAATGACCCGGGCATGATCCTGATTTCCATGACTTTTCTTCCAACAGGGGTCCATGGACATACTTTCCTCCCCTGAATTTCCCATGGCTTTCCACAACAATCCTGGATTTTCCAGAATTTCCTATGACCTTGGGCACCCCTCTCCAGAGGGTATGTCCAGGCAGGGAAGCCATTTCCAATACTCCCCTGTCACTTTTCAGTATTGAGATAGGCATCTTGAACAAACCAAAGTCTCTGCGCTTTTGCTGACAGTAACATCTATGAAGTGTTCAAGAGCTGAAGAGGTTCACACTCACCGGTCCAAATTCCCCAACTTGGTAGACGTACGTCGGGCAGTCATCCAGGGAGCACACAATGGTGCTTTCAGGCGGTATCAGACCAAAGCTTAGACAGTTGGTAACATCCACTACTTGGTCATTCTGATCCAGGCACTGGACGTCACGAAAGCGCTGCCCTTCCCCGCAAGTCACAGAGCACTGTAATAAAAAAACAAGCAAAAGATTCAATAGGGTAGTAAATCCATTATATCCGGTAACGAATCAAGGATTCCAAGGCACTGTAGCTCCCCAGGCACCGTAGCTCACGAGCCTGAGGAAACTTCGGCAGGTTAGAGCAAGGAGCAGTTGAAGTTTTAGAGGTGGGAAGAAAGCCCTAGAGGAACATTCTAGGTAAAAACGCAGGCAATTGGGTAGGGACAGAAAGCCCAATTCACACATTGTCCAAGCTGGGAATTGAAACCGGTTCGCAGGAGAGGGAGACGAGGAGAGAACTACTAGGCAAAACTGACTCCCCGGGTGGATGCAGTGGTAATTTACCCTCATCTACCAACCTCTGTGGCCGGGGTTCAATCCTGCCCTGGCCAAGAGGCAGCTTGCGTTTTCAGCCCCTACATGATTCCTTGCATATCTCCTCGGGTTTTCGTCCCACCACTAAAACTGAACATTTCTTCATTGTCTTCTCTCCAGTTTACTTCACTTGCAAGTGAAAGTTCGACAGTTGTTGAATGAATAAATGTCACACAAACTGCATTTCAAATTACCTGTCAATTTTTCAAGCTCATGTTAAAAATATGGATGAAAAAAGAATCTCTTGAAAGCCGATACTTTCCAAAGAATACAAATTAAGCTTTGTGTGAGGATTAGTGCATATCGCACATACATTCTATTCACCATGCAGCTGCTGGTTCAATGGGGCCTGCTGCTGGACAGAGGTTTGTATACTGGGCATACCACAGCCCAGCAGTCGCGGTCAAAAGAAGTCTGCTGAGAAGGGGTTAAAAAGTTTGATTCCTTTTCACTTAATGTTACTTTTTTAAATGTCCAGTCTACTTGAAAAAGTCATCTCACTATGAAACTATATGCAAAATCATCGGGTTTCATGGGCCTTCAACCAGTTGGTTTGAAAGAGAGGCTGAACTGGCAAGATTACAAGAACTGCACCACAGACAAGTGAGATCACCTTGTCTTTATTTAACAAAAGCAATCTCTCTAGTTGTTAGATTCTGATTCTGTTGAAGAGGAAAGGGGGACCTTACCTCGCCATATGGTCCCATCTGGAAGCGGTAGTCTGGCTGACAAGCAGGAAGGGTGCAATTCCGCTGCGTCCCTAGGTCGGTCAGTCCGGCGTCGATGCAGTTCTGCATGTCCACCTGGACGTTGTTGTTGAGACAGACCACAAGTCTGCTCTCCGTGCCACTCCCACAACTAACTGAGCACTGGTTTTTTTAACATCAAAAAATGAAGAGTCTGGAATCAGACTTATCTGTGGGGCTAAAATTTCTAGTAAAATGTCCCTTGCAAATAAACCTAAAAATTTTTACTGGAACTGAAGAATTTTTACTACACCAATGCAAAAATAAAAGCAAACAAAAACACTGTCAGATTAAGGGTATTCCTGAAAGGCTGCAGTGAACTTGCGTACATCCGTTTTTTGATATTTTGGTTTTAAATTTCACAATGTTTACTTCTTTCACAGTGTACAGCACAGAAAGTGTTGTATTTGTGGCACTTCAAATCCATATTGCAGTTGAGTCCATCACAAGTTCTTCTAAGTCCCTCTCAAGTTCATCACAAGTTATTTGGTTTGAAAGGCAAGTCACAAGCTATGCAGATGAATTACAAAACCTTTCTTGTCGATATTCACCTCATTACTTAAGACTGCTCTTGTGAAGGAACTTCACACGAGCACTTGCTTCGAACTAATGTTTTGAGGCCTTACCTGTCCAAATGCTCCCCGGACGACGGTGTAGACTGGCGTCGGGCACGCCTCCAATTCGCAGGTGGTGTCTGTGGTGGGGACCTCCAAGGACGCATCCTGACACCGGGTGATGGCCACCACGAGGTTGTTGTCGTTCACGCAGTATATCATGCGGGTGCGGATACCAATGCCACAGGATACCGAGCACTGCAGACCCCCAAAAAAGCATTCTTTCTAAATTATCTTAGAATTCAATTTGCTAGACATTTTTTAAACATGAACTCAAGTGGGATGATAAATCAGGAGTCTACAATATTCTTAACATGTTAAAACCAGAGTAAGGAAAAGAAAGATGACTGAAAAGTATGCTTCTAGGCTTTATCCACGGTTAACTGATGTCACATAACGTTGAGCAGGACGGCAGCTTTTGCATAAGATGAGGTCCAGATAATACGAACTAATTTAAAGTTCCAAAGGCCCTCCTATTAACAAGAGTCAACTGTATATCCAATTTTTACCAGTAACTTGCAAACTGCTTTTCAAGAAATTCCTATTTTCCACATCAGTGACGATTTCATGGGGGAAATGTGGTAACCAAATACATCAGTTTGCAGTTTCACAAGAAAACTCCGGACAATATTCCAACCAATGCTCACAAAATACTGTACACCGAGGACCACAGGGAAAGGGTTTTGGAACACAGCTTCTACCTGACCATAAGGACCAGCCACATAGCGCAGGCCACAGCTGACGCCCGTATCACAGGCCTGGGTAGACGACGGTCTGCTCAGACCCGCATCCAGGCAGAACGACTCGGCCACCTGGTTACCCTCATTGTCGCGGCACTCCACAGATCGCACTTGGACTCCCGTCCCACATGTCACCGAGCACTGCAAGTTAAAAACAGAGAGATCAGTAAAATCAGAGAAAGTACACAATTTATCAACATGCAAGGCAAGACTTGTGTGGTGAAATAACCTCCACCACTCATGATTTCATATCAACCAGCTGTCAAAATTGTGGGAAAGAGTTCCATATGCAGACACCACTTTGAAAGCCTGTGCACAAACCCTAAAGTAAACATGGTGAAGAGGAAGCTTGATATTACAGTTGTTCAAAAGTCCTTTTCCTCCACTGTCCCGACTCAAGGTTTGACTAATTCGTAATATTTCAACCAAACGAATCCGAGATTCAAAAAGTACCCGTCTCCAGTTATCTACAATAGCTTCCATATTCAATCATACCATTTTTGTCATGAGCCATCTATGTTGCCTCTTAATTTATAATTTTTCCCATCCCAGTTAAGATTTAAGTGTCGGTCTCTTAACTGTATTGTCCTTTTTGTCCTGTCCAATTTTCTCTTTTGTCCTGTTTTGTTCAATGCGCGTCTCTACAAGACATAGTCTTTCTGATAATGCCTCCATTTTTGCCACGCAGCTTTTTTTCTTTTGTCTGATTTATTTTTTTGCATCTTTACTTCTTGAATTTATTTTGTTTTCGTAATTGTCCATATGTATTTGTCATATTCTATAATGGCATTATAGAAATAAATGTCGTTGTTGAATTGAATTTATTGTCGCAGTCCTACCACAGGAGAGTGCCCCTCTGGAAGCAACAAAGGGACCAATTTTGGAATAACGCACCCCTCCCCTCCACCATTTTCGTACACACTAAAACAAAAAACACCAAGTTAGTAAATTAATCTGTTGCAGCAAAAGCAAACCTCTCTTGCTGCTATTTTGCCTGACGCTATACAAATACATTTGTGGTGTCTGGCAGCATGTAGACATTGAATAGAATGTAAAGATGAAGGCTTTATATTAATGGTCCGAAATTGGCAGCATCCAGTTTTCAAACTTGTATATGTAGATGAAAGTTAAAATCAACTCCAAAAATCCATTTCCGCAAGTTACAAAAAAGCAAAAAAGTAATGTAGGAAAAAAAGAGGTGTGAGAAAAAAGGAAGCGAGCAAGGACTAGATTCACTTTCTCACTTCAGCTCGCTTTTCTTTTTTTAAAAAGTTGATTACCGGCTGGAATTCTCCCATGACATATTCGACGTTGATTGTTGGGCATTGACCCGCATTACAGAGCTGGGTCGTTGATGGCCTGGTTTGCGTGCAAAGCAGATCCTCCACGACCACTCCTTCCAGCTGGTCCTGACAAACAACACTACGAATCTGGATACCAGTGCCGCAAGATACCGGGCATTCACTAAACTCTCCTTCGACAAAGGTATACCTAGAAGTGTGGAGGAAAAGGAGGGACTATGATCCTAGAGTGAAATACAAGAGTTTCATGATGGTGTATTGATCCCCTTTATTTGCATAATTCAATTTCAAGCTTAGAGATGATCATTATAATAAAACTCCTCACCACCAATAGAGTTGTGAATGTGGATTTCCAGCAAGCCAGATCCATACACGTCAACAGAATAATTATAAATTTTGCCCAACCCGATGAAAATCAAGGTCAAACTGACCCAAGAACAAACCAACCCCCCAAAAAAGGGATCTGCACTGCAGAAATTGTTCTTGAAAAACGTTCAAATTTTTCTTGAACAGTCACTGCAGGAACTAAAACTGTTACAATGAATCTTTCACAAAACCACCTGAGTGCAGACATTGACATCATGCGAAGGAAAGCTTGGTAACGATGGGAAATAATTTAACCTGTTTTTTTCTGTTGGTTTGCTTCAGGTTTTCACCAAGAATGGCTGAAATAACCTGAAATCAACTTCACGTTAGAGAAGTTTCGGCAGGAGTTTCAAATTACCCTCCGTTATATAAGCGAGTGCTGGATTCTGCGTATTTTGATTGAAACTGAGATCCCCGGCCTTTCATTCTGGTAACACTATCGTAAACAATACACTAGGCATGGTCCACTCTAATCTCACTCCAAATTTGAATGGCCTTACCTGCAGGGATTGTCGGGACAGACTCCAGTGGTCGACGGGATCTCTGTTGGGCACCGCGAAGTGTCGGCGACCCGTCGTGTGGTGCCGTCATCGTGTTCTTCCACGCACAGGACCGAGCGCGTCGCTGTGCAGTTTACCGGATCAGTGCAGACAAAATTACTAGCCAGCCAGCTATTGAAAGGGTCAAAGGTCAACAGCGGCATAAGTTGTGGCTCAAGCCAGCATAATAAATCTACTTGCGAGTTAGCACGAGTTCCATTCTGTTTGTTAAAATATGCTTATGAAGCAATTTTGTTGATATATTTTAAAAATGTTGAATTTCTTTTAAAATATTAAATCCGTTTTTGGTTTTGCCAAGTTTTTACTCGAGTCTCTTGATTAAAATTTCTGTGGAATTTGAAATTGTTGGAAATGTTATTAATTCTCACAATGGGATGCAGGGTCCACCTTCGCAGTCAAAAGTGCTGTAGACTTTCAGGCATGATCCCTGAATGCAGATCTAGGAGGAAAAAATGTAACAATGATTAATAAAGTGTCATTACAACTTCCATCGCGAGATTTAACGTCAATGACATCACCACGGTCAAAGTTTCAACAACTAGCTTTAATTATATATAACGGGTTTGCCCTTAATATACGTTGGGTAGGGGCAAACCCGTTATATATAATTAACATCTCCCCAACGCAAAAAATACATCTC